GGCTGTGCTGCATTATGATTGCCCTGTGAATAGTCACTGCCCTCCAGCCTGGGCAACACAGTAAGACTTAGGCTTTGCTTAATGAATAGCTTATTTACTTTTATTTTATATAATTGTATCTCAATACAATTCATTATTTTTTAAAAGTGATGAATCCACACTATTATATCTCATAAGAATAAACTGTAAAACAAGCACTCTTAGGTTCTAAATTCAACCATTTCCTAGACAATACACAAAATTAATACCAATTAACATTTGGAGGACTAGGCACAGTGGCTCACACCTATAATCCCAGCACTCTGGGAGGCCAAGGCAAGAGGACTGTTTGAGCCCAGGGGTTCAAGACCAACCTCAGCAATACAGTGAGACCCTGTCTCCACAAAAAATTTCAAGAAAATATTAGCCAGGCATGCTAGGACACGCCTGTGGTCCCAGCTACTCAGGAGGCTGAGGAGGGAGGATTGCCTAAGCCCAGGAGGATGAGGCTGCAGTGAGGCATGAGTGGGTCACTGCGCTCCAGCCTGGGCAACAGAGCAAGACTCTGTCTCTGGAAAAAACAACAACAAAAAAGATGACTTGGGGCAAGTAACTGCAAGAAAAATATAGAGCAGAAATTGTTTTCATCACTACCAATTCATCGTAAAACTCAAATAAAACCTAAAGTTTGAAAGAACCTATACAAATATGTAACAGAAAGCAATAAATTATAAAGTATTACTCATTTAGACAAACCATAACAACTTAGATATAAAAAAATTCTCTAGATGTGTTTCATAATGCAGTAAAATAGTAAGTTTTTAATTAGTTAAAAGGTTTTTTTTTCCAAATTATGACTTTCTAAAAGATACATACACTGTTAGTAACAACATTATAGTTTTCAGCAACAAAGGTTGTGGTAAATTATTTCCTGATACTGAAGGAAGATGTAAGGTAAGAATCAAAATTCTGGCGTGCATCCTGCTTTCAGATGCTTTGACAATACTATTGCACTGCTAGCTGTAAAGTACAGTAGTGCAATAAAGTCAGAGCATTCGTTAGCAGTAATAAGTAGGAAAGGAACACAAAAGCATCTTGCATCAGTTGAAGCTTCAGTGTGAAAAGAATTTAAAGTAGGGTTGCCATTTTGGACAGAAAAACATCCAAAACCAAAAAACATTTATATCAATGTTTTTTAAAAAAAGGATAAGACTTAAATATCAAAGTGATGTTGCTTATTGATGACTAATATAGAAATTAACATTCAAACAGAAACATGCATAGATGTAGAAAGGAATTTTGTAAATATGCCCTAAGCCTTAATAGTAATTAGAATGGGTATTGTTAATACTTTAGGATTGTTATTAACAAAACCAGTTATAATTACTACTAAGACAAAGTTGTGAAAAATATTTTTGTTCTCTGCAGAGATGTTGGTTAGCTCCTTCTTTCAAGGCAATTTACTGATTAACCACCACATAAAACAAGCCCTTTGAATACAAGTATCAAAGAAAACAAATGAAAAGTAAAATAATAAATTTCTCAATCTCTACATACTCATTCTTATCACTCTGGAATCTAAACCACTATACAAAGAAAACACAAAAGCACTTACCATCTTACAGCTTTTTATCTCGAGTTTACTAAGGGCTATTATAACAACAGAAGGGAATCAATGTGTTGTAAATAGAACATTAACTCTATCTAACTGAATACTATCCAAGGGGATTTCAAAATTTCAGTTAACTCCTGAAATCTTAAATATGGGCAGAAAGCATCTCCATTTCCTTCAAACCTAGAAATATCAAAGAGAAAATAATGATGGGGGAGGTGGGACTGAGATTTAAGTAACAAGTTTCCTTAGTTCCAAGCTAATTAACATTCTAACTTTTTTAACGGATAAGAACCCAATCAGAAGTCAGATGTAAACCCAGAAACAGAAATAGTATCATAGTATCACACTGCATTACCTTTTGTGTACAGTCACTAGTAGTACCACGAAAGAACGAAAGAACGAAGCTAAACAAATCCCACCCTATCAATAAGTGAAGGGGAAAAAGTCAGAAAACAAAGATTGGCCTACAATAAGCTTATTCCCCCATTAGTAATGTTGATTGATGCAAAAATATATTTTCATTATTTTCACCAACCTCACTTTAAACAGTCCAGTTCAACTACTTAGTCGGATTGAGCCTACTAAGGAAATGGATTCATACAAAGGACAGCTGAAATTTAAGTGTCTTGGTGTCAAATCCTGGGCCACATAACTAAAATATTAGAATATTTAACGCTGGTAGTCAAGTTTCAGGTTTTAAAGACAATTGTTTAAAAGATAAGTGTTTAACTTTCTGAATTGGAAGTTGTTACAAACAAGAAAAATATGAAAAAAATTAAAGGTATCAACAAAATTAGTATAAACACTTTCTTTTCAAATTAAATATTATGCATTCTCTTTTCACAAATTAAATAGTCAATGCTAGTTCCTTGACAAATCCTTTATTTAACTGATGTAAAACCAAAAATCAGAAGACAGCACAGGAAATCATTTACGCTAAAAACCTTATAAAATAAACTGGTCCACAAGTATAACATTTTTTTCTAGAAGTGCATGGTAAATCTGAAGATGAGATGCACTGTCTTTTATTATTTAGTCAATATAAAGCAGTAATAATTAAAGCCATGATAAAAATTCATTTCTAAACCCTAATAATTATGGAAACAAACTAATAACCTGAAAGGGAAAAAAAAAGCTACCACTAATTTACTTGCAAGGATGTAAGAAAGGAAAAAACCCTCATTTCTTTGTTTCCTGTCTTCAAATATAATTTAAATACTACCTCATCATTCAAACAATATCTAAAAGTTTAAATGTCTGGCTACCTTATAATTTTCTAAAACCTACTTTTTCAAAATGTTTACTTCATCATTGTTCACTTAAAAGAGAATTTGTTCAATCTCAAGAAGTCCTGTGAGAACACTGACTCTATTGCAAAAGCCAGACAAGTTTAAAAATTAAAAACAGCCAACTTGAGAAGCAAACAACCTGTTAAAAACAGAATTAGCATCATTTAGCAGAAATGAATTACGAATTTAGGCAGAAATATCTGTATCAGTAGGGAAGAATTCAGAATGGGAGAAGGGCAAGATAGTCTTAACATTTAAGCCTGTTGACAGAATCAAATTACAATGCTTAACATTTTGTTTTTAAAAAGAATGATAAAAATAATAAAACTTAGAACTAAAAGTTCATTATTACAGGTTTGAAAATCTGCAGGAAATTATTCCTTCTTCCCTCCCATTTCTCCCTGCACTTCTCCAATCCCATACACACTGCACAAAGAAAATTTAAACACAAAATGCTAAAAGTAATTGAAAGCCTTCAAATTAAATTTGTATATGAGGCACTCCAATTCATTTGAACATCAGAAGAAAATAAGATATATCAAGGCCTGTTTTTCTGGAGTGGGAATGGGGGGTGGGTGGCTTCTTCCAGGATCACCACCCATCCTTTCCAAGGAAGAAGTTAGAGGCCCAAGATTCAGCTTGGAGAAAGCAGGGCAGGCACAAATACCTAAGCTATAATGCCAGGGAATGGCGTGGGAAGGAAGGACGGATTACAAACGAATAGATAAGTTTTTTACTTTTTTTAAACTTAATTTTTTTTTTTTTTTTTTTTTGAGACGGAGTCTTACTCTGTCGCCAGGCCAGAGTACAGTGACGCGATCTCGGCTCAATGCAACCTCCGTCTCCCAGGTTGAAGCGATCCTCCTGCCTCAGCCTCCCGAGTAGCTGGGACTACAGGCGCGTGCCACCACACCCAGCTAATTTTTGTATTTTTAGTATAGACGGAGTTTCACCATGTTGGCCAGGAGAGTCTCGATCTCTTGACCTCATGATCCGCCCGCCTCGGCTTCCCAAAGTGCTGGGATTAGAGGCATGAGCCACTGCGCCCGGCCAATCTTATTTAACAGACAAGCAAACAAACAAAAAAAAACAGGAGCTTAGTGGCAGGCGCTTCCTCCAAAGTCCAGGTTTTTAAGGAAAGCAGCCCAACCTGGAAAAAAAAAGAAAAAAGAAAAAAAAAAAGATAATGCTGGACGAAAAGGGCTGAAGACATAACAAGGGAACTAAGAGGAAAAAAGCGCGGGCGATCAAGCTGGTAATCTAAGAATGGGAGGGAGGGAATAAAGAGAACAAGTGAAGGACGGATCCTTAAAGAAAACTAGAAGGACAGCCCCTCAGCTGGGCGCCCCCGAGCAGGCCAAATACGCCAGCAACAACGGGAGTACTTTGCGGTTCTTCGCACCCATTCTCTACTTTCACAGATGAATGAAAGTGCACAACTCAAGAGCAGGATGCCTTTCCTGTCTCAGTCCCGCCCGCGCTCCAGGAGAGGAGCTCGCGGTTCCGATCCCCTTCGCTCACACCTCTTCCCTCACCCAAGGTTTGCCACCCCTGGACCAAACAGAAATGGGTCTAGATGCTTCCTTGGCCGTTAGGAAGTTGTGCATACAAGTCTAGCATCCTTTCTCAGACTTTCTCGGCCCGCCTTTTAAAACGTGGGCGGGTCGGCCCTACAGGGATTTCTCCTCGCCCCCTTCGGTTTATTCCCCACCCCACCCTCCGTTCCCCTTTCTTGGAGTGTGAACCACCCCTCCCTTCTTGGGACGCTTAGGGACCGTTCCATTCACATCTTTTTTGGTACAAACACAGAATGCGGTATGCACCGGGCGCAGTTCCGTAAGGGGTGTAAAGGTGAGGGCAAGGAACAAGGAATTCCAAAGGCCCCGCACCCTCAGCATCTCCCGCCATTTCCCTGACGAGTTTCCCGGATGTAACCCCTTCCCCGCGGCGGTTTAGACACCAGACGGTGGCGGCTCCCTTTGGTGCAAGAGGAGGGAACTCGACTCTGGTCCAGCCTCCGCCGCCCGGAGTTTCCGGCGACTCCAAATTGTGCCCCACCTTCGAGGCCGTGGGGGAAAAATAAACTACACAGTAGATCTCCTTCACTTTGCACTCACCATCAGTTCCAGCTTATCGACCTCCGCCTCCATGTTGAATAGTTGACATTCCTCAGACCGCGGCGGCGCTTAAGCCGCAAGCCGTACTAGCACGGAGGGCCTCCATTGGACAGCTGTCACTCAACGTCTCGCACCCATTGGTTCCTCCGTTCCACCGGCTCCCGCCCATTGGAGACTGGGTAACGCCCCTCTGCATGAGACACATTTTCCTGTTGGGCAAAGACACAAAACGCCGCAGGAGGATTGGCTGCTGTGCACATTTTTTTTTCCATTGGCTGCCCCCTGCTCTCTACTTTCAGTTTTATAGTTAGGGCTCTGCAGAGAAGAGCTTGAGATTGGTGCAATCGGAAGAAGAGCCAACCAATCACACCAGAGCTTCCACCGACGGCAGAGGGGACGTAACACACCTTCTTTCCGCTCCTGCTTTCCTTCCCCTTCTCTCCCGCCTTCCCCTTATTCATACCAGAAGCGCCTCAGCTCTGATTGGCTGGAGCTCTGTCTATCTCAGCCAATCACAAGCCGGGCTGTGCTCCTACGCTATGTAAAGAGCGAATCGTGCAGAGACCGTGTCTACGATTGGTCTCTCCTTGACAAGGATTTAATTTTGAATTTTTCTTTATGGCGTGGGAGAGGCCACAGCCCGGACTCCATCGACTGCCCCGGCTCTTAGACTAGTAAGTGCTGGAACGATTATGTCTTTGTTATCTGAGCTCGCGTCTTGAGTAGCTGGGCTTGCTGCTGCTTGTGTGTTTTTATGGTTTTGAGGAGGGGGAGACCTTGGCTGGACACGAAGGGGAAATGGAAAGGGGAAGGGTAGGTTTGGGGCTGGGGAAGAAGTGCTCGCCTGGCTTCATCTTAACCATACTTCTGTTTAATTAACACTTTGCAAGATATGTTTTGGAGCAAAGCATATGCCTTCCTTTTGAATATTTATTTACATATTTGCTGCTCAATGTAAGTCCACAGATCAGCGGCATCCGCATCTCTTGGTTGCTTGTTACAAACGCAAGTTATCGGGCTCCAGCCAAATTTACTAAATAGAATATACATTTTAACAAGATTTCCCTCAGTGATTTCTATGCACATTAAAGTTTAAGTTGGTACATTTCTTGACTGGGAATATTACTATGTTACTTGATATTGTCTGGCATTCTGTTAGAGTGTTCATTTTAAATGTGTGTCCTGTTTACTGAGTGCCTAATGCTGTGTGGGATGAGACTTTAGGGAACTGCAGTCTCTTTGGAGAAACAAGACAGGAACAAAAAAAGCAATGCTAAAAAAAAAAAAAAACCAGAAAACAAAACAAAACAAACAAAAACAGCATAAAACATAAAATTTTTAAAAAGCAAGTACCCAGAAATAGTGCTATGGGTGTTCAAGAAGAATCAGTTGAACTGGTAATGGAAATTAAGTAATTGAAGGCTATGTGTGGAGGAGCGCAAGAGACCTCCATAAAAATGTGTTTTAGGAAGATGGCAATGAAATGCAACAGCCACTTCCGTTGCTGCCACAGCTTTGAAAGTACCCCAGAACAAAGAACTTTTCTTTTTTTTTTTTTTTTTTCTTTTTTTGTAACGAAGTCTCACTCTGTGGCCCAGGCTGGAGTGCAGTGGCGCAATCTCGGCCCACTGTAACCTCCGCCTCCCGGGTCCAAGCGATTCTCCTGCCTCAGCCTCCTGAGTAGCTGGGACTACAGGCGCCCGCCACCACGCATGGCTAATTTTTGTATTTTTAGTAGAGACAGGGTTTCACCCTGTTGGCCAGGATGGTCTCGATTTCCTGACCTCGCGATCCAGCCGCCTCGGCCTCCCAAAGTGCTGGGATTACAGGCGTGAGCCACCACGCCCGGCCGCAAACAACTTTTCATATCATTGGGAGGAGTTGTAACAGAAGCAGCAGCGCCAACTCCTGCAAAAGACTGTAATTCTTACTGTATTATTTACTGCATCTTCCTGCTGGAAAATAGCTTTAGACCCATCTTTTAGCCATATGAAGATGTGGTATGATATGAAGAAATAAAAACCTCCCTAACCAAGAGAATTTGACAATATTAGAACATATTCCTTAACTAAAATAACACTTGCTAACTAACACTTAGCAGGAATGCTTCTTTTCATTCTTTATTGAATGAAACATTATTTAGCTCCTGCTGTATTCAAGATGCT